CCCTCAGCCTTTCCTCATAAGACCTTCCCTCCATACCAGGCAACATCCTGGTAAATCTCCTCTGCACCCTTTCCAATGCTTCCACATCCTTCCTATAATGCGGCGACCAGAACTGTACGCGATACTCCAAGTGCAGCCGCACCAGAGTTTTGTACAGCTGCAACATGACCTCATGGCTCCGAAACTCAATCCCTCTACCAATAAAACCTAACATACCGTACGCCTTCTTAACAACCCTATCAACCTGGGTGGCAACTTTCAGGGATCTATGCACATGGACATCGAGATCTTTCTGCTCATCCACACTACCAAGAATCTTACCATTAGCCCAGTACTCTGTATTCCTGTTACTCCTTCCAAAGTGAATCACCTCACACTTTTCCGCATTAAACTCCATTTGCCACCTCTCAGCCCAGCTCTGCAGCTTATCTACGTCCCTCTGTAACCTGCAACATCCTTCCGCACTATCCACAACTCCACCAACTTTGGTGTCATCCGCAAATTTACTAACCCATCCTTCTACGCCCTCATCCAGGTCATTTATAAAAATGACAAACAGCAGTGGCCCCAAAACAGATCCTTGAGGTACACCACTAGTAACTGAACTCCAGGATGAATATTTCCCATCAACCACCACCCTCTGTCTTCTTACAGCTAGCCAATTTCTGATCCAAACCGCTAAATCACCCTCAATCCCATGCCTCCGTATTTTCTGCAATAGCCTACCATGGGGAACCTTATCAAACGCTTTACTGAAATCCATATACACCACATCAACCGCTTTACCCTCATCCACCTGTTTGGTCACCTTCTCAAAGAACTCAATAAGGTTTGTGAGGCACGACCTACCCTTCACAAAACCGTGTTGACTATCCCTAATCAAATTATTCCTTTCTAGATGATTATAAATCCTATCTCTTATAATCCTTTCCAACACTTTACCCACAACCGAAGTAAGGCTCACTGGTCTATAATTACCAGGGCTGTCTCTACTCCCCTTCTTGAACAAGGGGACAACATTTGCTAGTCTCCAGTCTTCTGGCACTATTCCTGTAGACAATGACGACATAAAGATCAAAGCCAAAGGCTCTGCAATCTCCTCTCTAGCTTCCCAGAGAATCCTAGGATAAATCCCGTCCGGCCTAGGGGACTTATCTATTTTCACACTTTCCAGAATTGCTAACACCTCCTCCTTATGAACCTCAATCCCATCTAGTCTAATGGCCTGTATCTCAGTATTCTCCTCGACTACATTGTCTTTTTCCTGTGTGAATACTGACGAAAAATATTCATTTAGCACCTCTCCTATCTCTTCGGACTCCACGCACAACTTCCCACTACTGTCCTTGACCGGCCCCAATCTTACTCTAGTCATTCTTTTATTCCTGACATACCTATAGAAAGCTTCAGGGTTTTCCTTGATCCTACCTGCCAAAGACTTCTCATGTCCCCTCCTGGCTCTTCTTAGCTCTCTCTTTAGGTCCTTCCTGGCTAACTTGTAACTCTCAAGCGCCCTAACTGAGCCTTCATGCCTCATCTCTACATAAGCCTCCTTCTTCCTCTTGACAAGAGATTCAACTTCTTTAGTAAACCACTGTTCCCTCGCTTGACCACTTCCTCCCTGCCTGACAGGTACATACTTCTCAAGGACACGCAGTAGCTGTTCCTTGAACAAGCTCCACATTTCAATTGTGCCCAGCCCCTGCAGTTTCCTTCTCCATCCTATGCATCCTAAATCTTGCCTCATCGCCTCATAATTGCCTTTCCCCCAGCTATAACTCTTGCCCTGTGGTATATACCGATTCCTTTCCATCGCTAAAGTAAACGTAACCGAATTGTGGTCACTATCACCAAAGTGCTCACCTACCTCCAAATCTAACACCTGGCCTGGTTCAATACCCAGTACCAAATCCAATGTGGCCTCGCCTCTTGTTGGCCTATCTACATACTGTGTCGGGAAACCCTCCTGCACACATTGGACAAAAACTGACCCATCTAAAGTACTCGAACTATAGCGTTTCCAGTCAATATTTGGAAAGTTAAAGTCCCCCATAACAACTACCCTGTTACTTTCGCTCCTATCCAGAATCATCTTTGCAATCTTTTCCTCTACATCTCTGGAACTTTTTGGAGGCCTATAGAAAACTCCCAACAGGGTGACCTTTCCTTTCCTGTTTCTAACCTCAGCCCATACTACCTCAGTAGACGAGTCCTCATCAAACGTCCTTTCTGCCACCGTAATACTGTCCTTGACTAACAATACCACACCTCCCCCTCTTTTACCACCTTCCCTGATCTTACTGAAACATCTAAACCCCGGAACCTGCAACAACCATTCCTGTCCCTGCTCTATCCATGTCTCCGAAATGGCCACAACATCGAAGTCCCAGGTACCAACCCATGCTGCAAGTTCACCCACCTTATTCCGGATGCTCCTGGCATTGAAGTAGACACACTTCAAAGCACCTTCCTGCCTGCCGGTACACTCCTGCGACCTTGAAACCTTATTTATGACCTCACTACTCTCAACTTCCTGTACACTGGAGCTACAATTCAGGTTCCCATCCCCCTGTTGAATTAGTTTAAACCCTCCCGAAGAGCATTAGCAAATTTCACCCCCAGGATATTGGTACCCCTCTGGTTCAGGTGTAGACCATCCCGTTTGTAGAGGTCCCACCTGTCCCAGAATGAGCCCCAATTATCCAGGTATCTGAATCCCTCCCTCCTGCACCATCCCTGTAGCCACGCGTTCAACTGCTCCCTCTCCCTATTCCTCGCCTCGCTAGCACGTGGCACGGGTAACAAACCAGAGATAACAACTCTGTTTGTTCTAGCTCTAAGCTTCCACCCTAGCTCCTTGAATTTCTGCCTTACATCCCCATCCCTTTTCCTACCTATGTCGTTGGTGCCTATATGGACCACGACTTGGGGCTGCTCCCACTCCCGCTTAAGGATCCTGAAAACACGATCCGAGACATCACGGACCCTGGCACCTGGGAGGCAACACACCAACCGCGAGTCTCTCTCGTTCCCACAGAATTTCCTATCTGTCCCCCGAACTATGGAGTCCCCAATGACTAATGCTCTCCTCCTCTCCCCCCTTCCCTTCTGAGCAACAGGGACAGATTCTGTGCCAGAGACCTGTACCCCATGGCTTACCCCTGGTAAGTCGTCCCCCCACAACAGTATCCAAAACGGTATACTTGTTTTTGAGGGAAATGGCCACAGGGGATCCCTGCACTGTCTGCCTGTTCCCTTTCCATCCCCTGACATCTACTTTTTTCTTGTACCTGAGGTGTGACTACGTCCCCGTAACTCCTCTCAATTACCCCCTCAGCCTCCCGAATGATCCGAAGTTCATCCAGCTCCAGCTCCAGTTCTCTAACACGGTTTCCGATGAGCTGGAGTTGGGTGCACTTCCCGCAGGTGAAGTCAGTGGGGACACTAGTGGTGACCCTTACCTCCCACATTCTACAGGAGGAGCATACAACTGCCCTAACGTCCATTCCCACTGTTCTGAATTCCCAGACAGACAAATTAAAAAAAAACTAGTAACCTTATCAAATCAGCGCTCAGAACCTTTTTTTTGGTTAGAGGAGTAGGATGGGTGGGAGACACTACCTAGGTAGTGTTTCGGGTAAAGCAACCGCCCAAATATATTACCTCACTTACTCCAAAACTGGAGTCACGCGAGGTAGGACTTTTATAATCGAAAAGCTCACCTTCCCAGGCTGCCCTCGCGCTTCCGGACTCCCGCCGCTGAAACAACTGAAACGAGCAAACGTTTTACACAGAGGGTGATTTATGTGTGCAATGAAATTCTGGAGGAAGTGGTGGATGTGGGTACAGTTACAACATTTAAAAGAAGTAACGATGAGGGCAGAGTAGTGAACGTGATCTATGGACTTCAGTAAGGCGTTCAACAAGGTTCTTCATGGTAGACTGGTTAGCAAGGTGAGAGCACATGGAATAGAGAGAGAACTAGCCATTTGGATACAAAACTGACCCAAATGTAGAAAACAGAGAGCGGTGGCTACTTTTGGAATACTGCATACAATTCTGGTCTCCCTGCTATGGGAAGGATGTTGTGAAACTTGGAAGGGTTCAGGATTTACGAAGATGTTGCCTGGGTTGGAGGGTTTGAGCTATAGGGAGACACTGAATAGGCTGGGGCTATTCTCCCTGGAGCATATGAGTCTGAGGGGTGACCTTATAAAGGTTTATAAAATCATGAGGGGCATGGATAGGGTGAATAGGCAAGGTCTTTTCCCCAGGGTGGGGGAGTCCAAAACTAGAGGGCATAGGTTTAAGATGAGAGGAGAAAGATTTAAAAGGGACTTGAGGAATAACTTTTTCATACAGAGCATGGTGCATGTGTGGAATGAGCTGTCAGAGGAAGCGATGGAGACGGGTACAATTACAATATTTAAAAGACATTGGGATGGGTACATGAATAGGATGGGTTTGGAGGAAAATGGAACAAAAACAAAGTTGCTGGAAAAGCTCAGCAGGTCTGGCAGCATCTGTGGAGGAGAAAACAGAGTTAACGTTTCAGGTCCGGTGACCCTTCCTCAGAAATTTTACAGCAAGCGTCGTTGTTTTGGTTTTTATTTAGAGGAAAATGGGCCAAATGCTGGCAAGTGGGACTAGGTCAGATTGGGATACCTGGTTGGTGTGGATGAGTTGGACTGAAGGGTCTGTTTCCACGCTGTATGACTCTATGACTCCAGTACCCTGAGTGATCATTGGGGTTTTATCAAGAATCAGGTGTAATTTGTTTTGGGGGTGATGGTTGAATGGTGAGGGTATTGGGGGATAAAGAATCGAGGCATGTAATTGGGGTTGGGGCACACATTCAACTATTATCAAACTGAATGGAGGAACAGGCCTGAGGGGCCGAATGGCTTCTTCCTGTTGCCGAGGCTTCCTATTCAAATTTTGCTTTTTGTTTGCACAGGGCCGAGCGAGAGGAGTAGCAATCGTAGCATTCAGGAGACAGGAACATGAATGATTCCACCCATGGACTTCGGCCCAGCCCTCCGAGCAAAGGCTGCACATATCAAGAGAAATTCAAGAACATTCTACTGCCCGTCACCTACTCAGTGGTGCTCGTACTTGGCCTGACTCTAAACCTGACGGTCATTGTTCAGATCTGGCTCTCTCAGAAGCCGTTGACCAGGAATGCCATTTACATGGTTAACTTGGCCACGGCCGACATCCTGTACGTCTGCTCCCTACCGCTCCTGATCTACAACTACATTCACATGGACTACTGGCCCTTTGGCGAGACCCTGTGCAAGGCCACCCGCTTCCTCTTCTACGCCAACCTACACGGGAGCATTCTCTTCCTCACCTGCATCAGCTTGCAACGGTACATTGGCATCTGCCACCCGCTGAGCACCTGGCATAAGAAGCGGGGCCCTGGGTTTGCATGGGCAGTCTGTGGCCTGATTTGGGCCTTTGTGGTGGCAGTGTGCGCTCCCACCTGGAAATTTGCTTCCACCGGGATCCAGCGCAACAGGACCGTGTGTTATGACCTGAGCAGCCCCGAGCAGTCCCTTTATTACTTCCCATATGGAATTACCCTGACGGTGGTAGGCTTTACCATCCCATTCACCGGACTACTGGCATGTTACTGTGCCATGGCAATGGAGCTCTCCAAACCTGACCAGGCGCTGGGCCACGCCATCCGCCGCAAGAAGAGCAAGGCCCTGAGGATGATTGTCATCGTGGCCGTAGCCTTCATCATTAGCTTCTTGCCTTTCCATCTGACTAAGACCGCCTATCTCATCATCCGCGCTCAGAGCTCCGTCTCCTGCCTGATGCAACAAGGTTTTGCCCGGGCCTACAAGGCCACGAGGCCTCTGGCGAGCATGAACAGCGTCATGGACCCCATCCTGTTCTACTTCACCCATGAGAAGCTCAGGCAGAGCACACGCTTGCTGTTGCAAAGGGTCAACACCAACCTGAAGGCTAGGGTGCGCAAGAATGAGGAGCGATGAGACCTGACCTCCCTCACCTTTGTCCAGCTACATCAGCCAACTTGGGCAGAGCCTGGTTAAGTTAGTCTGATTGAATTGGACCAGTACATCCCACCCAGTGATAGCCACACGCCTGACTGCGTGGCATGATTTGGAGGATTGACACGGTTGGAGTGTGGCCTGCATGAGCCGCGTTTGTGAACAAGCAACATCTGACACAACGCGCTACCACCTGAGCCCCAGATGCTGGCAACTGAGCACTGGAGTAAGTGTGATGGCCAGAGATAAGCAACTGCATTGGCAATGCACTGACACAGACTCTTGTTTTAACCCAAACTGCAGATGCAACCAACATTTCATCCCTCATTACACAAAATTAAAGTACATAAATCACTTTAAAAAGAGGGATTGCAAGTATTTGTGACTCAAAAATTGGTTCTTTCCTAAGCATGGACCTTGGTGTTTAGACTCATTCCAATTCTGAGCCTTTCGATTTTTGGATATCTTTGACTGCATTCCCAGTCTTTCATCTCTTCACCCAAAGTATGGTATCTTCTTGGGTTACATAAAGACATAACTACTGTTTACCACATCCATAACTTTCACTCTACCTCAGCTCATCTGCTGGTGAAACCTGACTTCATGCATTTGTTACATTTGGACTTGACCTCTAGATGGTCTCACACATTCTACCCTCAGTAACCTTGATGCCATCCAAAGTTTGCCATGAGTCCTAACTCACAGCGAGTCCCTTTCCCCTGTTATCCTTGTGTGCTGCTAACCAGCATTGACTCCAGGTCAACAAACATTTTGGTTTTGAAATTCTCATTCTTGTTTTCAAATCCTTTTGTGGTCTCACCCAGTCTCTCAACCCTCCAGGTACTGTGTGCGGTTCTGGTCACTGCAAAATGTGATTGCATTGGAGAGGGTGCAGAAGAGATTCACCAGGATACTGCCTGGGATGGAGCATTTCAGCGATGAAGAGAGAGGCTGGATGAGCTTGGGTTGTTTTCCTTAGAAAAGAGAAGGCTGAGGAGTTGGTGGGGAGGGACCTGATTGAGGTGTATAAGATTATGAGGGTCATGGACAGAGATAAGAAGCAACAAGCAGAAATTGCTGGTGGAACTCAGCAGGTCTGCTAGCATCTGTAAAGACAGAAAGCAGAATTAACCTTTCGAATCCAGTGCTCCTTCTTCATAACTATTGGTACAGAAAGCAACTGTTCCCCTTTGTTGAAGGGTCAATAAATAATTTTAAGGTGAAGGGCAGGAGGTTTAGAAGGGATTTGAGGAAATGTGTTTTTTTGCCCAGAGAGAGGTGGGAATCTGGGAGGCATTGCCTGGGAGGGTATTTGAGGCAGGAAACCTCACAAACTTTAAAAAGTATTTGGACGAGCACTTGAAATGTCATAGTATTCAAGGCTTTGGGCCAAGTGTGGGAACGTGGGATTAGTGCAGGTTCAGTGTCATTTTGTCAGCACAGACTCATATGATTCTATGGTTCCCACACTCCTCAAATTCTGGCCTTTTGAGCATCCCTGATTTTAATCACTCCATCATTAACAACAAGATCCTCAGTTGCTTAGGTCCCAAGTTCTGACTGTTCCACCACCTACTTGTCAGCCTCACTTTATGCTAGTAATCATGATGTGAAGGTACTGGTGTTGGACAAAAGTCTTCACCTGAGGAAGGAGCAGTGCTCCGAAAGCTTGTGATTTCAAACAAACCTGTTGAACTATAGCCTGGTGTCATGTGACTTCTGACTTTATTCTTGTAAAACACTGCTGTAAGCCTCTACTTCTTTATGTTAACCTTGAATCATCATCTCCTTCAGTGGCTCTGTATTATATTTTGTGAACAAACGCTTCTGTGAAACTACTTTCATTGCATTAATGTTACCAGATAAATATAATTTGTTGGAAAAGTTGCAGATACTTTAAATGTCAATATGAAACCGCGGCATGTTCATCTGTCCAACTTTTCAGAAGCCACTTAAGCTCATATACAAATTGACTTTTCTTTTTACCTTCTACCAGTTCTTGAACCACCTCATTATGATTTCTAGGGATGAATTATTTTGCATTATAAAAATAAAATACTGCAGATGCTGGAAATCTGAAACACACACAGAGAAGGCTGAATGAACTCAGCAGGTCAGAGGAGAGAGAGACAAAGTTAACTTCTTGAGTGTGGAATAGTTCTGAAAGTGGAGTCACCAGACTTGAAACATTAACTCTATTTCTCTCTCCACAGATACTGCCAAACCTTCTCCAGCATTGCCTGTGCTTATTTCAGATTTCCAGCCACTGCAGTGTTTTGGTTGTATGCTTGTAAGGGAAACTTAATGAGGATTGAGGGAGAAAGGAACAGGAGGGTATGGTAGTGGGGTTAAATGAAGAACAAATGGGAGGATGTTCATATGGGCCAGATGGATCAAATGGCTTGTTTCTGTACTGTCAGTACTTTGTAAAGGAAATTGTACAGGGTTCTCCCAGACCCTGGGAAATTGGGAGATGTGATTTCGACTTCTCTTCATTGACAATGTGTTTTCTTGGCTGAGAGGATTCTATTGTAATGCAAATAAGGAGGTGAAATATTCGTCAATTTGCACATATTATTTTTCTTTAATTTATTTTTTCATGGGATGTGAGTATTTGTTATCCATTCCTAATCACCTTGAACTGAGTGGCTTACTTAGGCCATTGCAGAGAGTTGTTCAGAGCCAACTACATCGCTGTGGGTCTGGAGTCACATATAGGACAGACTAGGTAAGGACAGCATTTATTGCCCGTTCCTAGTTGCCCTTGAGAAAGTGGTGGTAAACTGCCTTCTTGAACTGCTCTGTCCATGTGCTGTAGGTCGAATCACAGTGCCATTAGGGAGGGAATTCCAGGATTTTGACCCAGTGACAGTGAAAGAACAGTGATATATTTCCAAGTCAGTAGTTTGGAGGGGAACTTGAGGGGGTGGTGTTCCCATGTATCTGCTGCTCTTGACCTTCTAGATGGAAGTGGTTGTGGGTTTGGATGGTGTTGTCTAAGGATATTTGGTGAATTTCTGCAGCACATCTTGTGGATAATACATACTGCTGTTACTGAGCGTCGGTGGTAGGGGGAGTGGATGTGGTGCCAATCAAGCGGTTGCTTTGTCCTGGATGGTGTCAAATTTCTTGAGTGTTGTTGGAGCTGCACCCATCCAGGCAAGTGGGGAGTATTCCATCACACTCCTGACTTGTGCCTTTATAGATGGCATGAGATAATAGAACCAGTTAGGAAACGATGAGCTGAATGGCCTCTTTTGGTGCCATAACAATTCTGTAATTCTCTGAGATTCATTGTCCTAAAGTTGAAGTTCATTTGCACTATGTTTTGATTTGTAGATTTCCTTATTTTAACTAATAAAACCACTGAGGAAAAAAAACATGGTTGTTCAGCTGTTTTTGGCCTGGGTTGAGGTGAAAGATTGATAAACGAGCTTCCCCTCCAGCCCACGGGAATTTCCCTCAGTTGGAGAGTTCGTTCTCTGCCTTCATTCACTAAGTGTCACTAACTGCTGCTGATTCACAGGGCCGGGAATTCAAGGCTCCACACCAAGGACGTGAGCCCATGATCCAGTCTGACACACCTAGTGCAGTATCAAGGGAGTGCCACTCTGTTAGAAGGTACTGTCTTTTGGAACAGGTGCCAAATGAGGCCTCACACGTCATCATGGAAGTTGTCCTTTTAATTCACTCATGGAAGGTGGATTCACTCATGGAAGGTGAACATCAGCGGCTGGGTCCAGCATTTATTGCCCGTCCCTAGTTGCCCCTTGAGAAGGTGATGGTGAGCTGCCTTCTTGAGCCTCTGCAGTCCATGTGCTGTGGGTGGACCCACAGTGCCATTAGGGAGGGAATTCCAAGATTTTGACCCAACAACAGTGAAGGAACGGTGATATATTTCCAAGTCAGGATGGTGAGTGGCTTGGAGGGGAATTTGCAGGTGGTGGTGTTCCCATGTATCTGCTGCCCTTATCCTTCTAGATGGAAGTGGTTGTGGGTTTGGAAGGTGCCCTCGAAGGAGCCCTGGTGAGTTTTGTGAAGATTCTGCACAAAGGCAAAGTACCACAGGTGCTAGGAATCCAAAATCTAAAGAAGAGACAGGAGGCATGGGACACATTCAGGCAGCATCAATAGCGAGAGAAGCAGAGTTTCTGATGAATGATCTATCACATCATGAAATCATAGATCATAGAATCCCTATAGTGTGGAAGCAGGCCATTCAGCCCATCAAGTCCACACTGACCCTCCAAAGAGCGTCCCTCCAACCCCCAGTCCCCTACCCTATCCCTGAAACCTTGCACTTACCATGGCTAACCCACCCAGCCTGCACATCCCTGGACACTGTGGCAATTTAGCAAGGCCAATCCACCCTAACCTGCACATCTTTGGACAGTGGGAGGAAACTGGAGGAATCCCACACAGACACAGGGAGAACGTACAAACTCCACACAGACAGTTGCCCAAGGCTGGAATTGAACTCGGATCCCTGGTGCTGTGTGGGAGTTGTGCTGACCACTGAGCCACCGTGCTGCTGGAGTTTACACCTCCACAAAGGTCATATTTTCTGGTGAAATTGGCAGCCTGTCTGACATTCCAAAAATCAATAAATAATTGACAGCTAAGCTTCTGAAGAAGGCGATTGATCCAAATATTACACTGCCTACTCTGACTGTCTTGAGCAGTTGGATATGATTCACATTACTTTGCCTTTTCACAAAGTTGTTTTACAATCAGACCATAATAAGATGTAGGAGCAGAAGTGGGCCATTCAGGCCATCAAGTCTGCTCCGCCATTTGTTGAGATCGTGGCTGATCTGATAATCCTCAACCCCACGTTCCTGCCTTTTCCCCATAACCGCTGATTCCCTTATTGATTAAAAATCCATCTGTCTCAGCCTTGAATATACTGAATGGCCCAGGCTCGACAGCCTTTGTGATAAAAAAATTCCACAGATTTACTCGCCTTGGAGAAAAGAAATTCCTACTCATCTCTGCCTTAAATGTGTGACCCCTTATTCTGAGAAGATGCCCTCTGCTCCGAGACTTTCCCACAAGGAAGAACAACCTTTCTCCATCTACCTTGAAAACCTCTGAGAATCTTATATTTTTCAAAATGGTCTCCTCTCATTCTCCTAAAGTCCAATGAGAACAGGCCCAATCTACTCAAGCTCTCTTTATAAGTCAATTCCTTCATACCGACTGTCAGCCCAGTGGACCTTCTCTGGGCTGCCTCCAATGCCAGTATCTTTCTTTAGATAAGGAGCCCAAAACTATTCACTGTATTCCAGCTGTGGTCCGAGTAGTGGAGATAGTAGGAACTGCAGATGCTGGAGAATCTGAGATAACAAGGTGTAGAGCTGGATGAACACAGCAGGCCAAGCAGCATCAGAGGAGCAGGAAGGCTGATGTTTCTGGCCTAGACCCTTTCTGATGAAGCCTGCTGTGTTCATCCAGTTCTACTACTTGTTATCTCAGATTCTCCAGCATCTGCAGTTCCTACTATCTCCCTAATTTTATACTCCATTGCCTTTGAAATAAAGGCCAATATTCTATCTCCTTTCCCTATTACCCACTGAAGTTGGATGCATGTTGTAGCAGACACCCCCCCACTACAAACTCCTCCCCTCGACACCAGAGATGATAACCTCCAATTTATGCCTGCCCATTGGCCGTTATACCGTTGTAAAATGATGCAGAGGAGATAGGCAGCTAACTAATACTCTTCAATGGCCACTTTGCAAGGCTACTGTGATTTAACAAGCATCGGAATTGTATCGCTATGTTATTTTTGCCGATGACGTCAAGGCAGGCTCCCAGTGTCCATTTCAGGAAGGTCCCAGGGCCCAAGAAGGGGCCCACCTGCTATGGTCCAAGCACCCCCTCTGCCCCACACAGGCAGACACACAGACAGGTGCGCATGCATACACACACTCTTGCACACACAC